CACCCGCGACACAGGGTTTCCCTAGTGCGGGGCTATGTTGAGTGTGTACGTTATTATTATTATTATATAGTGATTTTTGGGGATTTTGAACAATTGGCATTGGCAACTCTGATTGTATCGAATGATGTGACTTAATATTCAAAGTTCACCACCTCCACCAGATCTTTTAATATTCTTTACTTTATCCATTTTGCATGAACTCTTACAACGTCCAATAGAGTAAAAATTCTAATTGTAGTATTTTTTTAAATAAAATCTACTGAAGACGCGCTATAACGTGTTTGTCAATAAGTACAACCACTACAGAATGTCTATAAATTAAATATATCTAGAATAAAATTAAGAACACTAGTTTTTAAAGTATTAATAGGCTTTACTGGATGTGTATAGAACAATTTTACTAAAAATAATCAGTTGTTCTACCGATGAACTTAAAATAAGGACTATAAGAGTAAATCTTAAGAGAGATTACACTTAATTAAGATGTTTGGTATTAAGAAGGTGTTAAAATTTTGACTTGAGTGAAATAAGTCTATTTAAATCTATACCATACTATTATCTAAATCTATACCATATTAAGACTGTTTATAGGTATAACAGTTTTAAGGCTTATAAAGTGTGCTCCTTGGGCGAGGTGCGGCCCTCACACATCACCGCCTTAAATCTAGGCTTGCCTTGAAATACCACACCTTAAAACCAAAACACGAACATCTGCAGCAAGCACATAGAGAAATTCGTAAGGTCTGGTGAATCGTTCCACAGCTCAGTTGGGAGAGCGATTGCCCGCGTTGGGCGAAAATGTCCCTGGTTCAAGTCCAGCCAGATCGAAGAAATTTTTCTCGTAATCAAAATAAATAAACAAATTTGATTTTATTATTAATCGAACACTAAGAAAAATTCTTTCGGATTCGAACCATCGCCTTCCAGCAATCCACGCTAGATGCTCTGCTAACTTAGCCACAGAACGATCAAGCAGACTTTACGAATCCCTCTATATGCTTGTTCCAAAGTTGATTCATTTATTTTATTTTATTATTAGTATATTTACTTTAGTAGCAGTAGAGCTCCTTGTGAAAGAGTTCGTCAAGGGGAATACTACCACTTTACTTACTTCTGCCGCCAAGCAGTAATGTGAGGATTACTGCGTTCCGATTAAGTAAGATTCCCAGTGAATTTGACAACTTATGTCTCAGCGTGACGGGCGCAGTGCAGCTTTTGAGCTGCACTACAACTGTTATGTCAGTCGTGTCGCTTACATTCAGGTCCACGACTCGTTCGTCAAGTCACTTGGTATCATAAAAAAAAGTAAGATTGTGAATGGAGGCGTGAGCAGAGGTAAATCTTGACGTGTTTATTATTATTAAACTAACATATTGCTTATATACAGATAAATATCCAAACCCAATAATAAAAGACCAAGTAGATGGTAGGGAAAATAACGATGATAAAATACCCGCAACTAGTGGACATCGTTTAGTGAATAATCACGAACCTCATACTTTCAGACTGGTCTCGTATGTAAATGTAATAAATTATAATAGAGAATAGGATACATAAGGAGGCATGACACACGGATAGGTAAAGGAACATGTAAAGATAGGAGTTGTTGGAGGAAGAAGGACCGGTCAAATCGGGAACAAGAGAAAAAGATGTGATCTAGGTCCCCCATATCATCACCACACCATAAATCACTGTCTATGATATGAAGTCTAGCTAGGTGGAGAGGAGTACATGTATGCCCAAGACGCATGCGAGTAATTACAGAAGTGGAACGTTTGGCTGACTTTATTTTAAAAAAACCATGTCTTTATAGGAATGTAAGGTTGAATATTAAAGTAAAATCTACCTTTCAATCGAGCACTCTCTTCCCAAAGTTTATTCCAGGACTCCTGAAGATAAACTCTGGGCAGAGCAACCTAGTCATGGGATTAATTTTTGTAAGGGACTGTATCTCCACAGGTAGAAGCAGCCTTAGCTAACTGATCGGCCTTCTTATTACCCACAATACCATGGCGACTGGGGATCCACGCAAAAATAACAGAGTAGCCTCTAGGTTTATACTGTAACAATTTTTTCCTCATTTTGAAAATTATATGATAGTAGGGTTTCGTTTTAAAAAGCAATTTCTCAAGAGTTTACAAAGCACTTTTTTTTTAGTCTGAACAAAACAATAGTTTTATTCAAATTACCTATAAATATAATATATTCTACTGCCTTAAATAGACCGAAGGCGAGAGTAAATAGGCGTTATTTAGGTATGCACGCTACATCGTCGACCTCATAGTAACTTTCCACCAGGTGAGATGGAGGTCAAATGCACACTTGCTTTTTTTAATGTTTAAAATTATCCAAAGAATACGATAACATGTACAATAAATGTTAATTTCAATTTCACTTAATTTCACTGAATTGAATTATTTAATCGGCACTAAGAATGTTTAAACTGATGGGAAGCGTAAATCGGTGTTCCATAGGTTCTCGTCTGTCCAACGCTGGGCTTGGGCCGCGAGTTCTTCATCAAAGTACTCGCGCCAACCGCCTGACTTGCCTGCAACAATTCACCACGTTAGTCTCATATCATCATAATAACTTTGCAAACGCATTTGACCTCCATTTAACCTGATGGAAAGTGACGATGACATCGACGATAGAGCATGCATACCTAAATAACGCCTATTCAATCTCGCCTTGAAAAGGCCCAAGTTAAAGCGTCCAGGGAACGAATCTGCACAAAGGGAATTCCACTCCTCCGTAGCCATTCGCCATAATAATATAAAATATGCTTTAGAATTCCCATAAGCAGGTAACTTTACGGCGGTGTTGAAGACTCTGTTTTAAATAAGATACTCATAGGTACTTGAAGCTTCGCAAATCTTGACCTCAAAGTAAATAATTGAGAGGTTAAAGTCGATAAGTAGATAGGTGGTACTAGATGTGCATAAAAAATATCTCTTATTAATTATTAAAATAATTAAAGATAAAATCTTCACACCTTTCCTGATGAAATTCTGCTCTTGCGGATCGAAAATACCGACATCGCGAAAATACTTCACGTCTGCAGAATCATGTTTCTTGAAGTTATCGAAGCGCAAGAACTCGCACAGCTGGTCCAGCTGCTCCTCGCTGTAACTTTTGCCGAAAAACTTGGCTACGCGACGCGCCGTGCCCTTTAGATCCTGGAATGCAGTGTACTCAACATATACATATATATGATGTTTTAAGCGAATTTTTCACAGGCCTGTGTGTCACAGGTCTCCTCTCATTAATTGAGTGGGAATAATGGGCACCTGACTCGTGGAAAGTCAGGTTATGTCAAGCGATCTAAATTGGCAGGCATTCATATATACTCACAGAGTAATTTAAAGCCAAGATAATAACAATAAGAGACCCATGTGGATACAAAAATCCAAATTCAATCCCCTAGGGGAACCCTGTAGACAAAAAATCCCAATGAACCCAGGGGATCCACGTACATATTTTAGTAGCAGTAGAGCTCCTTGTGAAAGGTTCGTCCAGGGAATTTACCTATTTCTGCCGCCAAGCGTTACTGTGTTCCGGTTTTGAAAGGTATAGGTGCTCGTGAAATTACACGCACATGTGACTTGTCAACTTATCTCAGGGTGACGGGCGTAGTGGCAGTGCCCCTCAGATCTTTGCGATTTAAAACTGAGTGGCACTGCAACTGTTATAGACAGGCGTGTAGCTTACCATCAGGCGCGCGACTTGTCTGTCCCGTCACTTCATGTTATATAAAAAAATGTGGACTAAAAATCCACATAAATCCCCCAGGGGATCGTAGCAGGGGATTCAAATGGACGGAGGGAGTTTCTTTACTCAACCTGTAGCCTTATTACAACAAGGGTGCGTATTATTTATTCTGAAGATGCGATATACAGGGTTGCAAAATCCTAAAAATGGTAATAACCTTGGACAGATTCTCGTAGAAAAGAAACAGCATGTTGGGATGATGCCGCAGCCCCCATGCCTCCTTTACGTGCTCGAAATACGGACTCCACACCACTGTACAAGAAATTTTTATGCCAACACAAATAGATTGTTATAATTATTAATACAAAGATAAAATTCGAACCGTCGAGTTCGAACCGACGCCTTATAGCAAACCGTGACAGGCGCTATGCCAACTAAGCCACGGAACGAACCCGCGGACCTGAGGAATTTGTCTATATGCTTGTTGTCGGATCTTTGCATTTGGTTTTCAACGTAGCGCCATCTATGAGAAATCTGTGAAAGTATTTCGTCACTCAGTTAGGTAACTTTACAGCTACCAGCCCTGTCCCCATTAACAGTAATTAAATTTGTATTGAATTGATATTCATTATTTTTTGTGAAATTTCTCCACTAGTTTGTTATAATTATTTATACAAATATCGCTACAGCTAAAAAGTCGTTGAAAACCAAATACATAGATCCGACAATAAGCACGTAGAAAAACTCGTGAGGTCCGCTGGTTCGTTCCGTGGCTTAGAATTTTTTCTGAGTGTTCGATATTTGTATTAATAACCATAACATTGACTTACAAATAAATGGACGACGGGTCTAATACAAAAACCACGAAAAAAATGTCCCAAGCATTGACTTACAAATAAATGGACGACGGGTCTAATACAAAAACCACGAAAAAAATTTCCCAAGTCAACCTATTCGAAATTTAAATTGTAATGTCATCGCAGTATCGCGCTGTCAGTAGAACAAATGAAGACTAAAGCGGAGTGTCGCGCTCTGTATACGATTTTAGCGCCTTACAAGTGCGGACACTTTTTAGCGCGGATCCGACGTCCATATAATTGTAAGTCAATGGTCCCAAGTCAACCTATTTAAACGTAGTGACATGTAAAGGAATATGAAAAAGCTAAAACGTTAGATTTAAATTGTAATTTCATCGCAGTACTGTCTAATTTTGCTTCCTTCGCTGTCAGTCGAACAAACGAAGACTAAAGCGTGAATGACGCTCTGTATACGATTTTAACGCCCTATAAGTTCGGACACTTTTTACATATAATTGTAAATCAATGAATCATAACAAACTAGTGGAGTAATTTCACAAAAAATAATTGAATAACATTTCAATACGAATTTAACACACATAGATCTTAAAACTTTGCAGCAGAATAGTGGCACGGACAAGGCGATTAAGAACGATTAGGTACTTACATAGATCTTTCTTAAAGAGTTCAAAGTAGTCCTTAAAGGGAGCTGTCAAACCGTACAAAGCGTTGTCCTTATTGAAATGGTAGTTTGAAACTGCGACATCACGGGGGTCCCTGGCGACGTACACTGTCTTGCACGTATCCAGCAGAGTAAGAGGCAACAGGGAGACAGGCAAATGGGTCTTGATGAAACGGGGAGACATCGTATTAGCCAGGACCTCGTAACCAGGTGCAGACAGTTTTTCCACCATTTGGGGACCGCCTGGTTTGCCTGCATTCCATTTCATTAATTTTTCAATTGTCTCTTTCTTGTAGAGCATGCACAATCTGGAATGATAAATCCAACAATTAATGTTAGCAACATCTTCTGGATGACGTAGGTGGATCTATACTACAGATATAGCGGCAGTGTTCAGTTCTTTAATTTTATTTTTTTATGCAAAGTCAAACAATCATTTATTCAATAAGTAAAATTTTTACACTTGAAAACGTCATTCTTTTAAGCTACTGTTCGTTTACTACGCTGACCTCCCTGAGAAGAACGAGCAAGAAACTCTAGGGATTGCTCTTTTTAAATAAACATAAATGCTATGGAATACCTACACATTGAATCATATTTGTGTGGAATCTAGACTCTCTGACTGATACTAAAACATACTCCTCAATTTTGTAATATGACTTTTCAATTAAAATACTTTTAATGTAAGTTTTAAACTTAGGAAATGATAATCTTAATATATTCTCCGGAATCTTATTGTAAAAGCGTATACAGTTCCCCATAAAAGCATCGTTTACCTCAGTTAAACGAAATCGTGGTAATATCATTATTTGAACTTAGTTCTAAGATTAATATTATGAATATCTTCTTCCTTAATGAAATTATGTATATTTTTACGGGCATACAAAATATTTCAGTAAATGTACTCCGATGCCATAGTCGTGATACCAGTCTCTTTAAACTTTCCTCTGAGAGAAACCCGAGAACCTAAACGGTACATAGAACGAATTGCTCGTTTTTGCAACACAAATATCGTTTGTATATCTGCCGCTTTGCCCCACGTGAGAATCCTCTAAGACATTAGATTATGGAACTAACTAAAGTAAACTAGTCTAGCAGTAGCAACATCTCGGTAAGCTCACGTATTCTACGGACCGTGTATGCAGCAGAGCTTAATCTGTTGTTATTTATATAATCTGTTATATAGTTATTTATTTTTTATTAACTTAGAAGAAGACCAACAACTTAATTTTAACTTATGTAATAATAGTAACAACTGAGAGCCAATTGCAGATCCTTACAAATAGAAATATAATAAGGTATGCACGATTTAACCAACCTATTGCATAAAACATAACATATTACGTAAAAAATAAAAATACAACCGCAGTTGAAGCCTCATTATGAGTCAAAGAAATGCCCACTCGGTGCTCTCCTCGCCGAAATCACACTCGTATTGAAAAGATCCAGATCAAAAGAAGACACATAAACTAGAACTAAAAGTGAATTGTTTCTTAAAAGATTTAGAGGGAACTCTAAGGGTCGTATTCCAGAACTCTACTCAATACTCAAGTCAGGACTGAAAATCATACTCAAGTCCCTTGCCATTAGGGTCGTATTTCCAGTGCTTGAAATCACACTCAAGTCTGCTCAAATCCTGACTTGAGCATTGAGTAGAGTTCTGGAATACGACCCTAAGTGACATTTGTGATAATATTTCCGGACAACCAATTGAACTGTACTTTTTGTTGTGATTAAATTATTTTTAATTGCATTTGTGTGATGTAAAAGCCAATTACAATATCTATGGATAATTAATAGCTCACTCTAGAAACGGGTATCTGGCCATTAGCGGTATTGCCTTTGCTTGTCTGTAGTCTAAATCGTTGACTATAAGCCACACCAGCTCCTGAGTCCATGTGGTTCCTGAAAAAGCATTAGTTTTGTTTAGTTTATTTACCTCAACATTACAAATTTCATACAAATACAATTACCGTCATTTTATACTACTCTTCGAAAAGTGAGCGTCATTTTAAAAAATAATGAAAAAATAATTATAGAATAGTGAGTCATAAGTACACAATAGTGCACATACATATACAAAATCAACATAATTAATGAAACTAATAAATAATTTAATTAAACTAACAATGTCAAGTGTATACAAGGATTCTTAATAACTAATAAATGTATATTACACTCATTGACTTACAATTATATGGACGTCGGGTCCGCGCTAAAAAGTGTCCGAACTTATAGGGCGTTAAAATCGTATACAGAGCGTCATTCACGCTTTAGTCTTCGTTTGTTCGACTGACAGCGAAGCAAGCAAAATTAGACAGTACTGCGATGACATTACAATTTAAATTCAACGTTTTAGCTTTTTCATATTCCTTTACATATCACTACGTTTAAATAGGTTGACTTGGGACATTTTTTTCGTGGTTTTTGCATTAGACCCGTCGTCCAAATATAATATCGTGATAAATATAATAATTTAATTATTTATTAAGTACTTTGAGTGTACTCTGTAACTGAGTAAAGGAACTTTTCCAATAAAAGGTTCTTCAGTCTGCACCTGAACGTTTGCTCACAACATTCGCTTTTTAGTTCGGCGTGTAGGGGCTCACAGTAGGTCGGTTCTATAACCCGCGGGTTTTTTTCATGAAGTGCAGTGCAACGCGGTACTGATCGGAGTTGTCCCGCACGACGGCGGCACCCACCCATCGCCTCCACTCGCCCAAACTGTGATAAGTGTTTCCACGTGAACATAATGACCTCAAAAACATATTCCGAGAAGTGGGTAAACATATTAGAGAAAACTATAAAAATAAATAGAAAGATAGAGATCAAGAAGATAGAAGAATATATTCTAATCAAGAAACATTATTAGAGTTGTCTCTGTGTTGACTCTTCTTAAAAAGCAGCTCGGTTATGGGGAGATAGTAATGAATAGAACGGTAGGAACGAACTATATCTATAGTTAAAAAAAATAGCAATGCAAACGCCATGCAGTATCGATGTAGACAATTATGTCTACCTTTACACATGCGCGAGATTTTAAGCAGCGATGTAAACGCCTACAAATCGCAAGTATAGCGATGCAATCGCGCTTCTTACGAACGCGTGTTTACATCGCTGCTAAAAGCCGCCGCGTGTAACCACTCTAAAACCAAATACAAAGATCCGACAACAAGCACATAGAAAAATTCGTGAGGTCCGCTGGTTCGTTCCGTGGCTTAGTTGGCATAGCGCCTGGCACGGTTTGCTAGGAGACGTCGGTTCGAATCCGGCCGGATCTAAAAAATTTTTTCCAAGTGTTTGATAATTAAAACAAACTAGTGGAGTAATTAAAAAGAAAAATTGAATATCATGGTGGTTAAACATTCTGACATTCAATAAAAAGTTACAAATGGAATAGTTTATTCCGCGTAAGAAAACACAATGAAAGGGCCTCAGAAACACTGGTGCCAAAACTCACATTATCACAATGTGTAACTATGAAGTCTTGATAATTATTGGTCGTAGTTTCTCATTGAAAAAAATGTAAGAACTTTCTGGACTGTTATAATTAAAACTTTAGCCAGGTGGCATATCGTTGAAAGTTAATGCGGGATTAATTACATAGTACTGTAACAATTTAAATGTGATTTAAAAATATTAATGACGATAATATACATATGACAGACATGCACACTTACATGAACTTTATATACATACATATGCAGAATATGTATTATAATCTAAACAAATTACTAGTTTATATGTTACCGATTAACTATCGAACGCGTTCGACAGAAAGTGCTCGTCTAATTCGTGTTTGAAAGATTCCACCGATGGGTAATGTTGAGTTGATTTAGTATTCATGACAAAGTACATAGAAATCCTGGATTTGTCTTGCTAAGATTTTGTACATTGCACATGTTTTACAATGAAAAAACAAGTGAAATTTGGTCCCAACCTGACCGCGGAAACGAGGCGACAACGATGTCATCACTACGTAAGGGCATGTTGTAAATGTTCGCCGCATGCTCCGCGTAAGTCGCCGTCATTGAGTACCGAGACGGACCCACGTGGATGTGCTCGTCGTCATCAACTGGAAAATATTTATTATTTATTTATTTAACCATTAGGTAAACAATCGAACAGTATGTATAAAAGCGCTTTTTGCCGTATGATCACTTGTGACTTTATTAAACTAATGGAAGGATATTATGAAATTTAGTTTAATAACGATGTGCATATTTATTAGACAATAAGTTAAAATATACAGGTAAGGTACAATACTGGAAACGGAAACTAGGATTAAATGACATTAATAAAATTGGGTCCCCGCGGCAAGGTGCCCAAGATGTTAGCAGCGTTCATTCTTTGTATGACAATGCTAATGCGTTGAGTGAGGTAGTGGTAGGTAGGTAGCTGGCCTAATGTCGCTTCGGAACGTGAGAAGGTGGTATTTGCTGCTGTGACGACCAGCAGTCCCCGTAAAGCGGGCCCATGAGAGGCAGTCTTAGGGGACACTGTCGCTCATTACAGGTGGACCCGAGATGGCGGCGTACGCGCTCCACGTCCGCCTCTCAAGATGGCTGACGGGGAGGTAAACATCTCTCCCCGGAAAGCGAGATGGAGTTCGGCGCCCAATCGAACCCACTCACCGTTGGAGTCGCCGAAGAATGCGAAAGCGTCCCCGTGACGCCGACACTTGGTGAGGAGAGGGAACGCCGTCAGGTTTTAGTCGGTAAGAGTCCGACATAACCCTTCGTCTCCCCCGGGCGAAGGTTATCCATTGTACTGATGAAGGTCACCGGGACCCCACGGGCCTAATGTTTTCTACTCCAGAGGCAGGTTCCCATTACTCTTTATCCTTTCCGCCAGGTCAGCTACGGAGCCAGCTCTCTTGCTGGTGTGTTTAGATGGGATGTAGCAAGTGTGTCGGCACACATGTTGTACTACACCAGTTTAATAAATATGTCTTGCTGTAACGGCGAATGAAAACATCGTAACCAAAAAAAACTCACATAACAATTCGAAGACGTGTAACGACTCCAACACCCATTGCAACTGCTTCGTTTAGACAAACCATTGTGGTTTAAAACCGCTGCTCTGAGATGAAACGTGTGTGGGTTGACTGACTCAAGAGGTACCGTTGTTTATAATCGCTTCATTTGGTAAAAGTTGACATGACCACTCTGGTCTAGATATACGTCAAGCAAGGAATTTCCCCAAGATCTTAACATACTTAAATAAGTAGCTGTAAGGCTACCACTGCGCCAGGTTCGCAAATCGTGGACAGTTTCTGTGCTCAAAATTGATCATTCGTGTTTCCATTTCGAAGCATTTAAGTACTGATAAGATAGCAATTTACGAGTTGCAAATTGTTATTTTTAATGCAATTTAATACTAATATTTAGTCGTGACCTTCATTGTTATCTGTTTATTGTCTGACTTAGGGCCCGTCGCTCATTGGCGGGACGGTATGGAGCCATCGACATCCCTACAACAACGAATATGTCGAATCCAGAATTGGTCCTATATCGAACAAGGGCCACCCGAGCGCACGCTGACGGCAAATAATTTGTAGTTCTAACCTTTACCCTGCAAAAATGGACGAAATTGATGAATTTTATTTTCTTGAAAGCGCGCAAATAAACTTATTGTTGTTAAATAGAAAAATAGAGCATGTCAATCAGTTATTTTCCAGTAGAGACGAGAGTTTCAAATGTTATTTCAAAACAAGACTTATTAATTTATCGACATCTACGAAAACACCCGAAACACCCACGCAGGTCGCACGAAAAAATCAATTCTTTGAATACTCAACTATTTCATGACGTCGTGCATGTTCTGCCACTGTCACTGCCAGTGTAAACATTCTCATTGAAAAACAGGCGTTCGTTTGTCCGGACGAACTCGTCAGAACAGATTTTCGTCAAAACTCGCAATCCATAGTAACCGTAGCCTTTGATAATTTTGTTTTTTTATTACTATTCATCGACCTAAATATCCCCTGCCGTGGCGTCACGTCAGTTGGCGCCGCCGCCGGGCCTAACTTCTCACTTTAACTACACTAAGTACAATTATTAATACAAAGATCAAAATGAAGAAGAAAAAAAAGATAGAACACTCAGAAAAAATTCCTTCGATCCGGCCGGATTCGAACTGTGGCAGACGTTATACCAACTAAGCCACGGAACGAACCAGCGGACCTCACGAATTTTTTTTTGTGCTTTTTGTTGTGTCTTGGTATTTGGTTTTTCAACGACTTTTTAATCGTAGCGCCTCAATGAGAAATCTACACAAGTTTTATCACCCAATTAGATACCTTTACAGCTACCAGCCCTGGCGAGAGATGTCGCTATTCAGTGTATTTTAAATTTTTATTGAATTGATATTCAATTATTTTTTGTGAAATGCTAGAAGACGTCGGTCGAATCCGGCCGGATCAAAGGAATTTTTTCTGAGTGTTCCATCTTTGTATTAATAATTATAACAAACTAGTGGAGCAATTTCACCTAGGTGAACTAATTCAGGTGAATTAAGTTAACGCACCCTAACTTTCTTGGCTTCTGTTTTGTTAAATAATTATTTGTGTGCCTGAAGTGTTTGTTACAAGATTTCAGTATTGTTGGGACACTGTTTTATGTTGAAAGCATCGAAGCAAACATACGTACATCGAGGGAGCCAATCGTTTCGTCACCACTGTCCAACTAATTTGTATTAAAATTACATCTATACCCAAATGATGAACCCTTCAGCGACTCCACCTAGCCCACACTAAGGACAGGAAGAAGAAAGAAGAGAGAGAGATTTTATTCGTAATCACTAATATCGTACCCTATCGAGATATTAGCAAGTAAAGTTTTTTCTTTTAAAATAAAAAGAAGGCCTACCTAAGACCTAAGCCCAGGCCTACTGGTCCTTAAGGCCAACAGGCAAATAAAATAAAAAAAGGCAGACCACTGTCCATGGTTATGATAAGGTGGGTAGATTTGTGCACTTACTGGTAAAAAGTTTCTTGTATTCTTCCCGCTCTTCATTGGTGAATGGTACAATTTTCAATGGATTATTTGTACTCATATTCATTGATTGTATATTTATTTTTAAGTGATTTAGATTCTCCCTACAAAATGTTCTTATTTACTAGTAACGTAGTGGCCACCACTGAAAACCACTTGCAACTGACTTGAGCAAACATTTTTGTCATTTCTAGATTTTTTTATCTTTAAGTAACCTGAAATGATATAAACCAGGTGTATAAAAATACCACAATCTAAGATAATAATTTATTGAAATGAAATAAAGTTTATTTGCATTGAATAGGTTATTACAGGATGGTAGTTATTACATTTGAGTTCATCTATTCAGCCATTATACAAAAGCTTGAAAAATTTAATTTTACCTTCTAAGTAGTCATTTACATTATAATATCCTTTTTAACTAGGTATTTATACAGTACAGTCATTCTTTTAAATGTCAGATTTTTTATTTCAATTGGTAGTCTATTATAAATTTTCATGCACATGTCATATGAACTTTTTAAGTAGAGTGTAGTTTTAGGTATATTTTCAACTACAAGCCTGTCTGGGTTTCTTTTTGCGCGTGGATTAATTTCTATTGATTTTTCAAATAATTTTAGATGATGTTTGACAAATTTACAAACTTCATAAATATACATGGAAGGTAAAGTCAAAATATTTAAATTCTCGAACAGCAGCTTGCAAGATTCCTGTGGACCGATGCCGCACATTGCTCGTATACATCTTTTTTGAGTTATAAATGCTCGTTCGACATAAGTTCCATTACCCCATATGATTAATCCATAACGCAGAACCGACGCGATGTCGCCGTGGTGAGCGAATAGACAATTTTTTTTAGAAGTAATTTGTCTTAACCTATGAAGGACGTATACAAATCTATTCATTTTGCTACAGACGCTGTCAACATGGTTGGTAAAACTAAGATTTTTATCTATTAATATACCCAAAAATGTCTCTAGCTTTTGTAAAATCTTTCCATCATAGTTAATGTTTATAATGATTGGTGTACGTCCTTTTACAGCGAATTGAACATGTTTAGTTTTTTCCAAGTTGACGTGTAGATTATTTACATGCGACCAATCTACTACGGATTTTAGTGTGTCATTAATTTCAGTTTCATAGTGATTGACGTCGTTATTAATTGAATTTACGACTATCGCAATGTGATCTGCAAACGTGATACATTTTTGCTTAGTTATTAATAGCAGCAATCATTAATATATAGCAAAAATAATAAAGGGCCTAATATACTTCCCTGAGGAACACCAAACCTATTCAGATCATAATGCTAACAGCATGTGTCAACATATTTTTTTATCTAGGTAGTTTAACTCCACCCGTTGCTGTCTGTCATGTAGGTAAGACCTAAACAGATTCGCTCAGGACCTTTTGGAGGGAAAAGTGTCGTTTTTATTTTGACTTTCAATTATTCTGTGAAATCTAGTTTAAAGTGGAATAGGATAGTGCTATTGTGCCTTTATCGAAGATTAAAACGCGAAATTATACGAATCTCGAACTAAAATACCCGTATCAGCCCGTTTTAAGGAATCCCGAGTCAATCCAAGCACGCCGCCTCAAATTGCCTATCCTCTTTGTGGCGGCCATATTTACAGAAACATAATTAAACTTCATGTTTAGGCTGATGGCTTTGCCAAAGCCTTAATAAATTTAAAAAAAAAGACCTAAACACTCATTAACAAACATTAGGTAATGTGAATATCACGATTACATTTGAATTGCAATAGCATGTATTAAATCAAGGCAATATAATAAATATACTTAATCAAGAAAGAGTGAAAATAAACTTTTTACCTAACTACCTCGGAAAGGCTTCCTTTCTTAGAAATCTGCGCGCAAAAGTGTTTTTTGTACGCTAACGTGGTAAAGGTTTTTGCAATTCGAACTTGACAATGGACTGAAAAAAAAATGACGCGTTCAAATAAGCGACTTGTCGTACATTATATAAATATGTTTTTCGTTGGTATATTTCATTCTTAGTATTGTTGACTTTAAATTGACAAGAATAAGTAATTGTGTTCATTAAAATTATTTTAATTCGTTGAAAAACTAAAATAAATTCAATAATCACTTAATCACACAGAATAAAAGCACAAACAAAAAAAATTATGAGATGTAAATTCAGAACGCATCCGAAGATAAACTTTTACTTTCCATTAAAAAAACAGATGTTTTATAGTTCAATTGTTTTTCTTTCATCTACCATTTTCCTCGATATAGTGATGTGAAAAGTCGTGTTTCGCTCGGCAGCAAAGTTGTTTTGCGTCTCGTCGCTTGTACGCCATGCCACGCTACGCTCAGGAATCTATTTTCCTATCTTAGCCTTCGCTTGCTCAGATTTTAATACGAGCACTCGTGTCAAACAACAACTTTGCAGCCTTGCATAACAAATAACTATTACTAGCTTTTCTGTTAGAGGTCATTGATGTTAGAGGCCCAATATTAATTGTCTATTCAGGGTCCTGTTAACGCTCTTTTAATTTTAGTAGCAGTAGAGGTCCTTGTGAAAGAGTTCGTCTAACGTCCTTCTCCTTAGTCTCTAGATCTGTATGAGCGAACTCTATGTCTATGATTGAAGGTAGTTTATCCCTAAATTGGCTATACAGGGCCCTGCGGACTCAATAATGGTGTTAATGGGGCTGCCCAGTTTCTGAAGACGATTTTAAAGCCACTCTGCGTAAGAGATGCGCGTCTCTGGCTCGCAGTGTGCGGGCTAATTCCAACAATGCTCTCCGTGCCATAGGAGATGAATGCCACTATACGTGGGGCATACTGAAAGTTCCTGTAACTGACCACTTGTAAAAGAAACTAAAAAAAACAAATACGAAATTTGAATAAGGATATCTTATAAGTTAGTAGGTTACTTTGTACTTTATGAGACTGTCATTTGTTTTTTCATTGTGACGTCATTTTCAAAACTGTGAGTCGCTATTAGAATGAATTTCATAGTTAATTAAGAATTCAAAATTTTCTGTCCCTGATTTTCTACAGGATAGTTGTCAGAGCCCCATGTCGTAGCTCTGTCTATTCGTGACTCAGTGCATTTATACGTGGACGTGATCATTTCCATGACGGTGTACGCAACGACAACTGATTGAAACTGACAAAAAATTACTTGTCAGTAAATTCGTATACTGTATTTAGGCATTGGAATGAGCCAAGTGCAAAAGATATTGCATTTGCATCTGAAGGTTCGGAAACTTTGCACTCGATAGATACCGTATGATTTATGACCGGAATACCAGAAACGACTGCGTGTAGAGTGGTGCCGTAGAATGATAAAAAGTTTCATGGGGGACAATCATTGACTATATATATAATATCGCGACAGGTGAAGAAATCTGGGTATACAGCTTTGAACCGGAAAGAAAAAGCCTGTCTGCAAAATGGGTCTTTCCTTTTGAAGATTTGCCGACGAAAGTTAAGAAAAGTCGGGGCACCGGTTTGCCAAAGAAAGGAGCAACCATTTCCTTAACTTTCTTCGGCAAATCAAGACATTACACTACTGTAGCGCTTGAAGACCAAAGGACAGTTACTGCAGATTGGTATGCATACACCTGCTTGCCTAAAGTGTTAGAAAAAGTTTTCGAAAGGCGTCCTCGATGCGATATCGTCCTTCACCACGCCTCTACGCATTCCGCTAAGGACGAATTTGAAGACTTCGAATGCGGAGCTGATCACCCATCGGCAATACAGCCCAGACCTTGCACCATGTGACTTCTTTTTATTTCCAGAAATCTATGATAAACTTAGAGGTTTACGATTTATAAGCCCGGAAGCGGCGGTGAATGCGTTCCACGAAGCTATTGAAGTGGTCCCTACCGAAGACTGGTCTCACTGCTTTCCACGATGGTACAAACGAATGCAAAAGTGTGTGAATAGTGAAGACATATTACTTTGAAAAACAATAAATCTATAATCAGAAAGTCTTATAATCAGAATCCAGAAACTTTCAGTATGGCCCAAGTATTAGACACTGTTGTGGGCTACACGCGTCCAAATGTATAATAAAATCTTTATTTTACTAACAATAGAGAACGCTTGTGAGTCTATTGGTACTTGAAATAATGTATTATTCTTATTCTGGATATCTATTTAGACGTATTATTATTAAAAAAGGCCGGGTTAAAAGTAACAGGAATAAACGTGCATATATGAACATAGAGGTAGAATATAATACCTATATGTTGACTCCGCTTTGACATATTTGATGTGTACCTATTGTATCAGCTTTGCTACACATTTGTATTTTTGTTTCATTGTATAATTTTATTAGTCGCTGATAAATATTTATTCCGACTTATTGCAATTTTTATTCAATGTCTCTTTATCGCGATGACTGCTAATCTCGTAATGATAATAAAAAACAGCAGCTGTGCATTTAAATGATAAGCCTCTTATAAACACGTTGTTACTTTTGGTTCAGATGTTACAGTTTTAGAGGTGGTAATATTCCTAATTGGTTGGTTTAAGTAGTCACTAAGACCTACACTTAAGAGCGAAGAAGACGTTCTGCGTTTTGCGTCAGCGGTCCAGCGAAAATGAACGCGCAACTTTTTTTTCGCTCTTCATCATCTTTTCGTTTTTTCATTAGTATTTGTTTAGAATAGAAAAGAATGCGTTTATTTGGCAGAATACAGTAACTACAAAGGTATTAAGTGAAATTAGGTACATTGTATTCGATCTGCAAGCAGACGTGCGTGTGCGTTGACAGGATTTCATTGTTCGGTCTCTACCGTTAATTGCACTTCAAATTAATGTAAATTTGAAAATACAAATTGTAAGTATTCTTTATGTAATGTAGGAATTAATAATTTCATGGCCCACATGCCACTTACAGTTTTTAATTGCAACAATCTGACCTAGCCATAAAGTGAACAATACCCATGTCGCATAAGTATGTAAGAGAGGCCACCACACTTAGGTGGCAGTACTTCCCTGGACGTACGCTTTCATAAGGAACGTTACTGTTATTAAAGTTGGTGTAATAAATTGTAATTAAGTCACATCTGCAAAATAACATCTTTTCAGGAGAGAGATGTAAAGATTCTACAAACTAAATTAGGCGT